CTGAGTATTTATAGGAGCATGAGACAAACAGAGAATAAGCTGGAGAAGCAAGAAGGATGCCGCTCTGCAAAATCGCATGCGGCAGCGGGGAGAAGTGTTACTACAAAGCCTAGCACAGTCTCTGGGAAGAAAATAAAGCTTGGGTGCAGGCTGGAGAGCAGCCTGAGATGTAGGGCAGATTCTTCTTTCTTTGGAAATGTACAGAATAATCATGTTGTAAGAAAGTTCCCACACTTAAAACTTTCATTTTGAAAAGGGAAAGACCAACCAAGAAATTAAATCTCTCAGTTGCTTTAATCATGCATCACAGGGCGTTGCCAAGAGCACAGCGAGGGCGACACAGCCCCAGGGCATCGAGTGTTTGGGTGGATGATTCCCTTATCTGGAGGGAGAATGGAGGTGCAGGCAGGGAGAGGGCTACAAAGGTAAATCCCTACAGTCCCCAGGGATTCGTGTCTTGTCAACATCCCCAGCCGTCCGGGGATCTTCCCTTCTCACCCAGCGAACTCTGCAGCCTGTGTTCGAGGTGTTTGTAGGACAGAACACCCCGCACAGGTAAGGCTGGCCTGGCTCCAGCTGCTTCAGACTCATGCTTTGAATCTCAAGAATCAGGACTCTTTCCAGGTTGCCGCTCCTCCCCAGGAGTAAGAATTCCTCATGACAGGGACACTCCCCCGCCCATGCATGACCAACACCAGATCCCTCCAGCAGGAGGCAGCAGCACCACCCTCGGCTTCCTGCCTCCTGAGCTGCTGGAGAGAGGCCTGGGGGGTTTCAGGGGGGCTGTGCAAAGCCACAGCCAGAGTCCTGAGAAACCACAACAAGGTTTGGAGCCCAGGCTTCCCATGTGCCTGTGTGGCTACAGAATGAGCCCCTGCGCTGGAGCCGCCCTGGGAAAGCAGGTCCACACAGCATGTCTGGAGGCCTGGGACCATGATGGTGCTCAGAACAAACATCGCCCAGAAAACATCGGGCTAGACCTCCACGTTCTATCCACAGAAAAGTGAAAAGTGACACTCAGGCTCCCCCTTAGCACAGCAACAGTGGCAGCTGGTCACTCACAAGCAGACCCCGCTGGCCGCACCCATCCTATCCAAGATCTTACTGTAGAATCCTAGAAGACGGGAAGGAGGGGACCGTGACATGGGAGCCAGGCTCCAAAAAGATCCTGGAGTGTGTCTTGCAGAAAATGTTTCAGGATCTTCGATAAGTTCTGACAGAATGGAACCAGGCCACAGACTCCATCTGGAGTGGTCCTGACGCTGCCTCCAGGCAGAGCTCTATTTGTTTGTGGCAAGGAAGGTGTCTCATTGTGGGAGAACGCAACGTAATTTTTGGCCAAAATAAAGCAGTCCTGGGCAACTGGGACTAAAAGTGAGGTAGAATTTGCCTTTTTTTTTTTTTTTCTTCAAGACAGAGTCTCACTTTGTTGCCCAGTGTGGAGGCAACCTCTGCCTCCCGAGTAGCTGGGATTCCAGACATGCACCATTACATCCAGCTAAATTTTGTATTTTTAGTAGAGATGGAGTTTCACTATGTTGGCCAGGCTGGTCTCGAACTCCTGATCCAAAGTGACCCGCCGCCCTCGGCCTCCCAAAGTGCCAGGATTACAGGCGTGAGCCACCGTGCCTGGCCAGAATTTGCCTTTTAAGACTCTGTTCTCATTCATTAATTCTAGCAATATTACTTAGGCAACTGCCAGGACCCAGCCCCTGCTGCAGTTGCTGGGAACAGAAAGAGGATGACGGCATGGCATCCCCTGGTTATGGTGCCTGCATTCGAGAAGATGCATTTAGGAAGATGAAGGCAAGTAATATGGGAACAAATAATTATGTGGTTAGTGCAAAAACAAATAAGGAAGGATGGATTGGGCAACCTTTCAGAAGGTGGTCAGACAACAAGGAGGTTATGTGGACCTGAGAAACAGTGGGCCAAGGAGTGCCAGCCATGCCAAGAGCCCAGAAAGGCATTTCAGGTGGGGAGAAAGTGATAACCATGAAGCAGGCAGCAGTGGACAAAGATGTGGCCCCAAGTAGGGCAACCAACCCTCCTACCACCGGTCTGCCAGGCAGCAGGAAGGGAAAGCTGAAGCAAGAGTCACGCGCCCTCCACCAGGCAGGCCCCCAGGCACCATCTGGACAAGCTGCTGGCTCAAATACAGAGGGAGGTCTATGTGCAGGGCAGTCCCAGTGCCCTGGAACATCTAGCAGCAGCTTTTCTCCAAGTCCATTACTCTGACCAGAAGAGCAAGTGTTGCTGCCTTTTGATCCATTTAGCTGTTAAGACTCAAGGGACTTTTGTTCGATGCCAGCCACTTGGCCAGACTGTTAACCTTCTGATGCTGTCCCCTCCAGTCAGGTTTCTGCTTCAGACTCAACCCAGAGACTCGGTGTGTCAAACTCAACCTAGAGACTTGGTGTGGTTCCCCAAGAAAAGTCTTTGAGCAGGAAGCAGTGTCCAGAACAACGCACATTATTCCTTCACACCTCTGCACACCTCTGCACCGGCATCATCCCACACACAAATCCACTGCAACTCACATGTGACAGATGGGGCGATGGGCTGGGGGGCGGACCTCAGGGTCAACTCGCTGGCCACCACTGTGGGCGTTTCCAAGTGGGCCCTCACAGACTCACAAGTGCCCTCTACCAAGGAACCTGCCTCTGGTGGCAGATTCCCAGGGCAGCGTAATGGGGAGTGCAAACAGGAATCAACTCGACAGATAATCGAGTCATTCTGTTAACAAGAACTCAGATTAGATTATTCTGTGATTACATGGTTCCTTGGTGTGATAAATTGGTTAATAACAGGATTCCCAATGTAGTTGCTTAATGGGAATTCAATAATTACAGGTAGCCAGAATTGTACTGTTAGCCTAGGAGATGCTAGCACCTTCTCTCGTTTTAATAACCCAAAACCAACCTGGGGCTGTCGAAAGGGTTACGATCTAGAGAACACACCTTTGATATTACCGAAGCACTTGGTAAAATTACGCTCCTGTACCTAACACACCATACATTCACAGGTTCGATTGACAGGCTCCTGTTTTCCTTGTTAAATGTCCAAGTTGAAGAGATCCCCAATAGATACCTTTATTACTTAGCTCTTGTTTCCATTATAAGATTAGTGATCAACAGATAATAATGGTACAATAATATTTAAATTGCATCTTATAGTTTAGGAGGCTCGTCCACGGGCATTCTTTGGTGGGGAGAGACTGTTACCACAATTCAGCAATTACGATAGCCAGGGAAGGAACTCTTATCTCTCCTTGAAGTGAATGAATTGAAGCTTAACGAGCCCCCAACTCCCAAACCAGCATCAGGTGGAAGAGGCAGGGCGGAAATCCTATGTCCTTCTAATGCACCACATCACAGAACTGAGGCCCGAATTTCATTAATGCAGTATAGCCTTAGATTACACTTTCCACAATTGTCCTTAAGAGGGACTACGCCTCCATCATCACATAGTCTGGATTAGCAGGACTTCAATTCATGAGATTTTATTCTACTTCCTATAAATTAGAGCATAACTCAAAGAGGCTCTTTGAAAAAAGGGAAAAGGATAACTTGTTTTGGGAGCAGGAGGTTACTAGCCAAAAACTTCTCTGACAATTTTTTTTTTAAATTTTTTGAGTAATATTAGAGTCTTTGACAATGAGAAAAAATGGAACAGTGGATTTAAAACGTGAAATGGCCCATTAGATGGGTCTTGAACTTGTTTTAAAACTCCAGATAATATAGCTTGGCTGTTTCTGTCTTTCCCAAATGTCAAAATTTGTCTAGGATTAATGGTTCTCTAAATCAATAGGATTTCATGTTTATAAATGGTTTATGGATCCACTGGTTATAAAATGTTATGAGCTCATGCATTATCATCAACGCTGAGCCTTTACTGAAATCTACTGACATTTAGTCTGGCATCCAGACCAGACATGGAAGGAGGACAGAACGGAATCCTCCCAAGGCCTGGCCCAGACCACAGAGGTCCCAAGGAGGGACAGGGCGAGCGGAGAGGGAAGCAAAGCTCCTCAATGCAGGGATCATCACAGAAAAACGATGCGGGGACCGGGGGTCCTATCCTAATTGCCAAGGGGACCTGTTAAGACTCAAAGTTAGAAGATCAAATGTAGTCCTTTGCAAAGACATGGAGAAAAGAGAGGGCTCTAGACAAGCTGACAGCAATTTTCGGAGAAATGCTGTAAGAAATAACATAGTTCAAAAATCATCTTTCACACCATCTTCTAACACAAACATCACTGCTGGCAAATGTACTTCCATATTGGCTCTGTGCTTGCACGCCGTGACTTGAGTGATGTGATTTTACTTTTGTGTTGTCTTTACTGAACACACCCCACACTTCTCCCAAATAAACTGTGGTTAGTAATGACGGAGTACCGTTCAATGGTGTTGACTCCATGAACACACTGTTCTCCCCAGCGATGGGCACTATGGCCCTTATGAGATTTTCAGACAGATAAGCTTTTGCCAAGGAGAATGTCAGCCAAGGTCATTTCCTTTCAGAATTGTTTTAGGTGGGAGGATCAGAGAAATCTATTTCTCTGATCTTGTGACACACTGCACAGGAACAGACCCTGCGTGCACTTGGTATAGATATATGAAGGCGACCCCCGCCCACTCATACTTTTGGTTTTCTGTCTTACTCCATGAAGCCTAGGTGAACAGACTGTGGACAAACAATGGGGTTATTCATATTTCACATTTTTCATTTCCACAAATACATACACCAACTGTGCACGGTAACACAATGTTAAAGATTCACCGAGAGAAGCAAGTAAGTTACTTTCCAAAGGAAGTGAGCCTACTTGAAATACTTCACGGCAGCACACAGCTGAAACATAGTGTATCGACTTGCTATTATTAAACCATAAAATTACATTATAAACAAACACTGACCATGCCCAAATTTTGCTGTCACTAAGAGGGATCTTCATATGGAAAAGATCAAATGTTAAATTCTTCACTCTCTCTCTTTTCTAGTGTGGAGCTGGATTTTAAGCAGCAAGAAGACAAACTCCAGCCAGTTCTGAGAAAACTCCACCCTATTGAGGAAACTCAGGTCATACCTTCGCCTTACTCTCAGGAGACTTACTCCTCAACTCCCAAGCAAAAATCCAAAACTGAATCTAAAAAGCACGGAAGATGGAAACTCTGGTTCCTTTAACACTCACGGTGTCCGGAGTCTCGAGGCCGTCTTTAGAACCCACTGGAGTTTAAGTCAACACTTTTCCAAAATGAATAGGATCGAGGGAACTGTGGTGCCCATTCAGGCACCTCCCACTTCTCGCCCTGCGTACCAAAAAGGCCTTTGTACCAACAGATAATTAACAGAATCAAGGTATTCCGTGTCACTCCTTGCCAGCTGTTCTTTGCAGTTCACTGATGTGGGATGTGAAATCTGAAATGAAACTTACATAGTCCAAGATGATAAGTAAAAATTTTCCCCCCACCCCCGATCTGCAAGTAATACATTATCAACCTGCAAGATGGCAGGCTGTCACCCTGTACACAGCTATAACTCATAATTATTTTCAAGCCTTGATTTTCTTTTTAATAATGAGAAGAAAAAGCAAGCCTTATGTTTGCGAAGGACTTCATTTTTATGTTTCATTTTGCAAATAAGCAGGGGGCGAGTGCAATTTTCAGCACATCAAATTCCGGAGAAAGCACAATTTTTTCAAGTGGTCGGAGACCATGAATAATCTCTAAAATGTGACTATATGTATATTTGCCTTCATGTGCTATAGCGCTAAGCCAAGTGACCACATCTCAGTGTCACATTGACACCTCAAAGTTAGCATCCTCTTCATCTCCAGACTTACGACATGTTTACTGCTCATTTTCCAAATGGCCAGCAGCCAGGAGTCCCCCCAAAGTCAGGATATGCCTTTAATCGCTACAAGTAGACAGGGTCAGAGCTACCAGACACAAAGCTTTCTTAGATCTCATTTTTAATCTTTTGGTACCCAAAGGCCAACTGATACATTCTGGCAAGAATCTGAGAACACACATAGAGATACACGATGGATAATCCAACCACCAATGAATCACAGGCATTCTGTGCCATGGCAGACAGTGTTTTTGTGGATCAATCCTCTGAGAAACTGTTAGCCATGGTAAGTGCAGCCAGACATGATATACAATTCGTTATGCTTTGTATTAACGGTGGAAGACCTGACCATCTCAAAGAGAAATAGCGTGTTTAGTTTAGCTGCTACCAAGGGACAACGTCGCCTACATTTAACCTATTAGTAAGTTGTACTAAACAACATACTTAGGGGAAAGCTGTGAATCAAATGTTTTTAGATATTTTTTAAATCAACAGTAACACTTAGAGTTCTCTCTTGATTACACATTGCAATGTAAATCTTAGTTCCTTTATTTTTTCACTCATTTCTTTGCACCTTGCAAGTATCTTTTTATAGAAATCAAATCCCCTAGTCTATTAATGCCTTTGTCTATCAATTTTTTTGATTTTCACAATAGGAAGTAGGGATCTTACTTTGCCTTTTTTTGGTACAACTTAAATTTTGAATAGTTTGTGAGCATACAGGAAAACCTAGTCTTGAAGTTTCAGTCCAGCAGTTTCACATCTAGCAGAGTGCTGACATGCACACCTCATTGATTAGATGCCAAACACACAGTGGCTGACCTTGGTAAAAGGATCGCACCTGCTTTTATCAGATTGGAGCTACTTCTTGCCATGTATTTTCCTCCTGACTCAATAGCAAATCTGTTTTAGTTCTAAGTGTTTTGATTCTACAAGGACCTAGTGATCAGTAATCAGATCGGACCTTGAAAAAAAATGAAGAGTATATCGTGTAAACATTCTTTGGGGGCCACTCAAACAATACCGCAGTTGTATGCTTTAATTTAAAACACACATGTGCACACACACATCTTTTGCGGAAACACTATATGAGGTTCGAATCCCTGAATATCAGTAAAAGGAAATGAGAAATATTTTTGTGCAAGAACAATGAGGAAGTTGATCCTATAACATGAAGGAAGTGTAATTGTTTCATGTAAACATTTAAAAATGGGTTTCATGTTTTTTATACTGTTTTTAACTAAAGTTATAAAAATGTTTCCAACAAGTTCTCTGTCCTTATGTTTTAAGAATCCCAGCTATCTCAGTAAATTGAAATAAGGGTATTAGCATTTTTCTAATCAGTAATACAAATCTGTCTAAACAAGAGGACATCCTAGTACACAAAATAATGTCACTGTTTCACACCAGTCTAGACCAAAAAGAAAAAAAAAAATTAAAATGTTCAGAGTCAAAAAGGAACTTCTGAAGATAAACTAATTCCTCCCTAAAAATTAAAGTATGTTTAAAACGGAAAAAACTATTGTCAAAATCATTTCCTAGTTTAATTGCAACTCGTCACTAACAGATGGTGATTCTTCTCTTGGAAAGATTCAAGTAAAAACTCTGATACAAAAGCAAGGTAAAACGCACAGGGTTCCCTTATGTAGATGTACACATGGCATTGCATATAGAGATTAAATTATTATACTTGTCATTAAGTTCTTTATTAATTTTTAAATAAAAAAATCAAAGATGTTTTACGTGGCTATTAAACTTATTTCATGGCCTCAAAAATTGGGGAACATAAAAGTAATCTAAGAAAAGAATAATAAAGGAAGAACGTTTGGGCTGATAGGCATTTCATCGGTCTGCAGAAGGCAAGAGCATCGTACAGGCTGGGCCTGACCCACCAGCCAGAGCTGGCCTGGCCTGGGGAGGGGAGGGACTGACCCATGCCCCCCCATGCACCCTGGCATGGAGTTTGGCCACCAGAAGACATGGTGGCATTTTAGAATGCACACAGGCTCACAGCAAGAGGTGTCTGAGGTTTAATTTTTAAATAACCTCAGAAGAGACGGCTAAATACATTGAGTGTTGTCAGAGTAAGCTGTGGCATGTAAATCTTGCCTCCATGGCCCAGGGAAGGTAGCGCCTCTCTAGATCTTCCATCGTGCACATCCCCAGCCTCAAGGGACCAGCGCCTTCTTCCTTTCTTCTTCCCCTCCCTAGTGGGAGATAGGCTGAGCGCCTGCCTCTCCTGCTGACACTAGCCTAATACTAACCCATCTGCACATGTGGGCTGGCGCTTGCCTCACCTGGACGGCCTAGGAGAGGAGAGGCCACGACCCTTTTTCCCAGTATCTGCAACCATGGAGTCCATGTGCAAGGGAGAGGGCACTGGAGACTGAGACTCGAGGCTCCTGCTACCATCGCATGTTCTTCAGGGAGAAGAAGGGGGTTCCTTTTCTGACACATGCAGAAAGGGAAGGAAGGCCCAATGCACAGCTCAGAGCAGGCAGAGGGAGGGGTCTGTCCCATTCTATAATCATTTCTGAGCCAACTATTGGTGCTGCCTCAAAGGTCCTGTTCTACAGACACCCAGATACAATGAAGGGTGCCCACCACTCAGGTGCCCACCAGTCACTCTACAAGTGTGCAACTCACTTCCAAGAAGCAGAAATCCTGTAGTCCTGCATCTGCTCCTTCGATCTCTGACCCGCCAGCAGAAGATAAATGGGGAGAGGCTCAAAGCATGGGAAAACCTTGCTACCTTGGAAACAACTTAGGTAGTTGGCAGCGTTTCCCATGTACCCTGAGAGGCAGTTACTTATCTATAGCCACAGAGAACTGAGATGTGGCTGGACTATTGGGTGTAAATGGTGTCACAGTCATGGCCCAGCCTTAGGCAGACCAATTCCAACCTACAGTCACAAGGAGGATGACTTGCAACACTGTTTTCCTGGGAGACCACACGGGCATATCAGAACCAAGACACACAACCGTTAATTGAAACTGTGAAGACAGACCATCAAATCATGGCCTTTCCTAGAAGACAGCAAGAAAAGGAAGCAAGAAAGAGGCATGAACTTCTCTATGTCATGATGTTAGTAACACCATGGCCTGTTTAGAAAACCTGTCACTGGTGGACCCATTCCTTGGGAGCATTTTTATTAGCAAGTGAAAGTTGATGTAATTACGAATCAGGGCAGTTTTGCTGGAGCAGTGTCACCTAAAGATCAGAGCTGCTGCTTCCCACACCAGCACGTCGTCTTTGATCTATAGAAACTCTACCACTAGCATATTTGCATGCGCTGCATGTGCAGCCACTTTATTTACTGAAAGTAAACAACTTTGTGGTGCAAAGATCAGAAAGAACATCCGTTTCATGAACTGGCATAAAGTCATCAGGCTACAGTGGATCCTATACATTCTGGTCAATGACAAGGTCATTTTAAGTTGTGCCAAAATTAACTTAAGGCAGTCTGGTTTTGCAAATACCTTTGCAGTTTGGTATGAATATGTAAGGACTGCAGAGCATATTTTGCCCATTCAATCATGTGGTTTTTACTTCTTCTGCAGTAAACCCATAGCTGGTAACCAACCTTGAAAAAATACCAGGGTCACAGGAATATCAAAAGAAACCTAAAATTGCTGTAGCTGCCCCAAAGAAAAATGAACTTATAAAACCATTGTTGCACACATACATTTCAGGATGATTTTCTGAAAGCAGGCAGGTTTATTAGCAAACAGCACAATTATAGACATTTTTTGTGATGATTATATACAAAAGCCAGACACTATTTGAGACACATTTTTTTTTGCAAATGATTTTAAAATCATTTTTAAAACACATTCATACTTAAACTCTATTACAATGGACATCTCAAAATGAATGCTCATGCATGGAGATATAACATCTTTGTGAAAATATTTGGTTATAGTCTTGGGGAAAAGGCACTATTCACTGGGAAACCAATTCTATTATACCATTTTCCAAATGAAGGAGCATGTCAGACCCTTATCAATCACCCAGGCTTAGAGAAAGCACCGGGTTTTCACCAACAGCAAATTCCCTGCCCAAGATGCTGTTGTCACAATGAAACACACCCTCCACCATCCCGTCAATGTCCCCCTGAGAGAGTGTTTAGAGTGGAAACAAAATAACTTCCATCACTTGTGTCTAGGGAGTCAGGATGCTCCAGTGGTCACAAGAGTTAAGTGGAAAATCCAGGCAACATCTTCCCCTTCTCTAAGCCCACTTCTGTCAATGTTCAAAGGGAATTTTTCCTTAAAAGAAGCCCACATTTTCATTTTAGTGAATTAGTAATTTCTAATCCCCTCGTGTGTATCCAGGCCACAGAAAAATCTTTAGAAGTCCGTCTCACTCCATTACATTTTTAAAGGACCTATTAACAGAATGTAAATCTGATCATTTGAAAGAAGCAACAGCAGCTCATATCACAGGAGACGGAAATGTAACTCATTTCACCAGCTCTCATCTCAGCCTGGAGTGCTTCTTACTCTAGGAAAAGCACACACCCAATGGCTGGCCAGCCCACCTGCACAAAACACAAGAGGACCTGTCCCAGCCGTGGTCACCTGCTCAGACCCGTGCGTGATGAGGAAAAATGCGGCTTAATGCTGAGGGCTTAGAAAGCCTCTCAAAAAGGAATGCTAAAATAAATCCTGAAGTCTAACTTAATATAAAAGTAAGTATTTCACTCCATGTTTCTACCGCATCAGACTACATCAGAGTAAAGATAAAATGACCTTTTCGTTCTGTGGCAAGGCTATTGCAACACTTCTGTCTCTGGGCATATGCTAAGTATTCACATGGTCTACAGTTCCGTAACTGCCAAATGGAGTTGTTTCGGTTTTTCCTTAAGGATGTAACACTTAGGATCATAGCACATTATTATCCTAGGCACGAGATGCATTCCAATCACCCATTTCAAATATGATCAACTAAAGCAAACAATATACAACTGACTGCAAAGTCGAGTTTTTGTAAAATCCCACAGATATAGATAAAAGCCTTATATTGCATATCCCAACTTATCTAATTAAGTGTGAAGTTCCCCAGTTTTCTATTCCTTACATAAATAGGGGGAAGCTGTCAGGGCATAATCACATTCCCAATTAATAACTTATTCCGATGGAAAGAGGCCACATTTCTAGTACTGTTGTTGACAACATCATGCAATAAATCATTAAGCAAAGTATATCAATTTCAGAGTTCTTTTTAATCACTTTAATTTTAAAAAACTCATTTTCAGTGATTACTTCGAATTTTTAAGCTGATTCATAGTTATATAATTTCTACTATATTTATGCAAAACTGAGTAACACATAAAGACTGGAATCTCTAAGGTATATAATGGAATGGTACAGCCTACCCAAAACAGATCTATGAACTATTTTCTGCTCTTTTTCCACTCTAGAAGGTCCACTGATTAAGGTTTTTGTCCACTTTGTCAGGGATACTTTTTGCCTTGATCGTCCTCTAATCTAAATTCACAGAGCAACAACAATGACTTTAAAAAGTTAATGCACAAATCTACATTTGATGCAAATTGGAAGAGCAAGGGCAGGCATCCTAAACAGGGTAGCATTTCACTCACACTGCTCTGTTGACTCCAGAGAGGGGGGCTCGTGGCTGGCTGGAGATTACAAGGTCCCACTAAACAACTCGAATTTTCAGTGGCGAAGGCCCTTCTTGAAAACATCTTGATGTTGTCATCACTCATTAAATGATTATAGCTTATTCAGAATCTTTTTGAGAGTCCTTCCAAGACAGCTGCGTTTTACAAAAGAACTTCCAAGGATTTTTTTTTTACTTCTTTACAGATCTTAGAGATGGTAGAATTGGGAGGAGTCCGTTTAAGACCTCTCTGGTCTTCCCACTTTGAGGCTTCTGTTTGGGAAGGTCAGGGCTGTGGAGGATGGTTCTGGAGGTGGGCAGTTTGCTCTAACTCTTCCATTCCTGGACACTGCTTAGACCCCTATGCCAAATGCTTGATATCAATGTGGCTCCGGATAAGACCAAGCATGGGTCCTCGCTGTCACACCCCCTTCTTAGAACGTGCAAGGCTTCTTCCTGAGGAACTCCTCAGGGTTCCTTAGAATACATGGGTTCTTCCAAGCTGGAGCATCCCAAGCCCTTCAGGAAATGGGCACCTAGCTTGTGGTCTGGCCCTTCCAGCAAGGAGATCCTAGAGTTGGACCATGGATACAACATGGTAGACAATAGAAAGGTGCTTATTTCACTGAACAGCTGTCTCCCTAAGCAGGACAGGGATCTAGGAGCAGCTCAGTCCTTTCGATGACTTCTGAAGTGGACCATGGCCATCAGCATCGTGTGCCTGTGTCTTATAGAAGGGACTGACAGCATACACGGGAACCAAATCCAGGCTCAAAACAAGTGCTGCCATGCTAGCTGTGGGATCTTGAACTGTTTCTCATCTGTCTGCAGGGCACTGTGAGAATTAAATGAGAATCTTCCTGTTCATTACATAGTGCCTAGCACGTAAATGCATGCTCAGTGAAGAAGTGCCATTATTACCACCACACTTATCATCATGCCTGAGATAAGAGAAATTTCTCAAAGACATCCTGGACCACATGGTCTGTGAGGAGACACCATTCCCTGCAGGGTCTGTTCTACCCTTTGATGAAGCTGCGAGCACATCTTACAATCTCTCCACATTCCCAGCTTCCCATGAAACTTTATGAGCTTTTTCTCTGCCCTCTTCCCTCCAGTTTAACTGTTGGTCAATGGGCTACAAGCCAAGTGAACACACACCCACCATAAAGACCCTAAATAAGGCTGGGCATGGTGGCTCATGCCTGCAATCCCAGCACTTTGGGAGGCTGAGGCAAGTGGAGCTCTTGAGGCCAGGAGTTCAAGACCAGCCTTGCTAACATGGTGAAACCCCATCTCTACTAAAAAATACAAAAATTATCTGAGTGTGGTGGCATGCACCTGTAATCCCAGCTACTAGGGAGTCTGAGGCACAAGAATCACTTGAACCCAGGAGACAGAGGTTGCAGTGCATCAAGATTGCACCACTGTACTCCAGCCTGCGTGACAGAGTGAGACTCTTATTTTGGGAGGGGGAAAAGAAAGACCCTAACTGGAGGCAGGATTGTGCCCCAACTAGACACAGGACCACACCCCTAACCAGAGACTGGACTGTGCCCCTCTGACCAGAGACAGGACCTCCTAATCGGAGAGAGGACCATGACTCACTAACCAGAGACAGTACCATGTTTCCCTAAGCACAGGCAGAATCATGCTCCCCAAAACAGAGACAAAACAGTCTCATGAGACCACCTGCCTCCACTTCCACCCTCTCCCTCACCTGCCACCATCCCGGCATGCCATCATGTCATCCCCAGCCTTTCTAGGTCCGCCCATCCCAAGAGGGTCTTGGCAGAACCACACTTGGTTCAAGTTCAAGCCACACACTGTTTGCTCTACATAACGCCCTTTCCAGTTCCATTCCTGAGACTGTGCAGACTGCGCCTGCAGCACAACCCCAAGAAGACAGGAACGCTGGACCTCAGGGGTCAACACCGGACATCAGGGATCAACGCCGGACCTCAGGGGTCAACAGGTGGCTCCTGGAGTCACCGCAAATCCTTCTCCATGGGCTCAGTGCCCATTCCATATTAATGTGTTCCAAATGTGTTTCAAGACTATGAATAAGAATAATTATGATGGAGAATAAGAAAAGGCAGGCAAATTTACGTTTATGTAATAATGGAAAAGTCTACTGTAAATAAAGCCAATTTACATGGAAACATTTTATTTCCTGAGTCATACATGTTGTAACCCCAACTTAAAAGAGCACACTTTAAGAAGGAAAATCTGAACCTCACACGTGCTGAAGCCCTAAGACACGAACTGTTTTACTGGATGGAAACACACGAAGGCAGCATTTGTCCATCTGAGGGACCTGTCTGTGACTCACACAAAACAGAGTCCTCTGTGGTGACACCAGACATAGAAACGCAAAGGACCCCAGTGCTCCGTTCGGACTATGCTGTCCAAGAAGACACACTTCACCTCCCTGTTCACACCCCAGATGAGCAGGACACATCTAGGAAAGACCAGGGTACCTCCTCTGATGTCAAGTGAAAACTCCAAAAGGACGTTTTCTCCTTTCATTTCAAGTTATTTTCTGGAAAAGGATCTACCAAGGCAAGTTAAATGATAATGTGTACTAAATATTTTAAACATTATCCAGTCTATCTTTGATGGGCATTTGGGTTGGTTCCAAGTCTTTGCTATTGTAAATAGTGCTGCAATAAACACACGTGTACATGTGTCTGAATAAAGAAAATGTGGCACATATGCACCATGGAATACTATGCAGTCATAAAAAAGAAAGGATGAGTTCATGTCCTTTGCAGGGACATGGATGAAGCTGGAAGCCATCATTCTCAGCAAACTAACACAGGACCAGAAAACCAAACACCACAAGTTCTCACTCATAAGTGGGAGCTGAACAGTGAGAATACATGCACACAGGGAGGCGAACAACACACACAGAGGCCTGTTGGGGGTTGGGGGCAAATGGAGGGAGAGCATTAGGACAAATACCTAATGCATGCGGGCCTTAAAACTTAGATGATGGGTTCAGAGGTGCAGCAAACCACTATGGCATATACATACCTATGTAACAAACCTGTATGTTCTGCACATGTATCCCAGAACTTAGAGTTAAAAAAAAAGAGAGAAGAAATTATAACCTCTTGAACCTCAAAAAAAAAAAAATTTAAATGAGACCTACTCATGCATTTTTTGCTGAAGGAAACAAACTTAAGGTAAGGGGGTGGGGAGGACAGCAGTGAACCCTGGAAAAAGGCACCGTGATCAGAAACTTGATGGACTGCCTAATTAGTAAAATATTTTGGAAAAAAAATGAATAGGCTCCTGCCTAATTACTATTTAAGAGAAACACCTACAATATAGGAGTAGACAATAAAATAACTAAGGTGAAGTACCTCAATTACTTTTTAGGGTCCTTCATAAAACTTTATTAATGGCACCTTAAATGTAAACACTATGGAGAAACTGCCAGAAGAATGAGGACTGAGCAGAAAATACATATCTTTTGCTAGAAGACAAGAGCCAAATGTTTCTGTCTTTAAAGTTGGTTTGCTTCCCCTTCAACTTTGACATTCATTTGGAAAATGAGGACATTTTATATACCAGGCTGTATCTCGACGGCTCACTACAGTGTATAATAGGCTTATGTTCAAACAGCAGTTGGAGAAGGCTGCTGTCAGTCCCAGTTAAATATCTAAGCGTATGTCACCAAGCACTTACAATGAGTTCGGAATCTCGTCCCATGGAAATGACGGTTCGGTTCACGGTCCGGAGAAGTTTCTCCATGATAATCTGGACGTGTCTCTGAGTCGGCCCCTGGGGAAGGACACACCAATGAACATGAACGCCAAACAGAAACACTAACACGCAAGCCCCAGTGGCTGCCATTGAATCCACTTACCCTGTAAAGAGTAAATCAATTATAACCCTTAATGAGATGAAAAATGGCCCTTGTCAAAAGCAAAAGCTCCCACAAAGAAAACTCAGGGGATTTTATTAATTATAGTCCATTAATGATAATTTGTTATATATATAATCATAGTAATTTAATTTAAGCAAATCTTAAAAATAAAAGAAAATCTGTTTAAACAATATAATGTTTATGATCCCTGATTAGCCCACCAATTAGTTTTCTAAAGATATTTGGCCATCTGTAAATGGAAGGCAGGCAGATAACAGTCCTAGATGGTTCTGCATGTCAAATGCAAATAACTTAAACAGTCACATAGGCTAGAATGTTTAAACAGCATTTAGCAAACTATCTAAACTTCACATTGCTGTGGCATTTTCTATCAGTAAAAATTGACTCTTTTATTAGTGTGGGATGCGATTGTTGATTCTTCTTTGTGAACTCTGAATCTGATTAAACACATGCTCTAGGCCCTTCCCAGCGTCACCACCTCCTCTGTGAGCTTTGGCCAAACAAGCTCTTACACCAAGCTTTTCTCCAATAAGAACAGGAAAGAGCCAGAAATGGGATCACTGGAGGCCGGCCTTTGGGTGAAGGCTTCCAAAAAACCTCTCCAAAGGCAACGCTCCTGTAAGAGCTAAGGTTTCTAGCATCACTAAGAACAGATTTAATCCTATCTTTTTCTTCCAGATCACCAACCAGGCTCTGAGAGAATGAACCAGTGCTACAGGGGAGAGGGTGACCAGGTATGTGGGCATGGTGACTAGGAGGGATTTCCAAGGTCATGCAGGAAAGGGCCAGGGACAAGCCTCATCTACTTAAAAATCCTGGCTACTCTGT